GGGAGAGCCCAGCTGCCAGCCAGATAAAATCTCAGTTGATAGTAAAAAGGACCTCTTGATTCTAAGTCTAGGCCTAATGTATAGGGTCTAAATTGTCTATTAGCGGTTGATTTAATCTCTCTCTCTCTTTCTCTCTGTATATATGTATAAAGTATATATTTGATAATATAAACTAGAGACAATAATAATAAAACAACACACTTTTTTCTCTCTTTTTGTTTTTTTTTTCAAGAAAAGGGTTTCTCTGTGTAGCCCTAGTGTCCTGGAACTCTCTCTGTAGATAAGGCTGGTCCTGAACTCAGAGATCTGCCTGCCTCTGCCTCCTCAGTTCTGGGATAAAAAGCATGTACCAGCACACCCTGCTAAAACAGAGCAGTTATAACAGCATACTATAATACAAATTCCATGAGTGTAATAGCTCAAGATACCCTGCTCTGTATTACATGTAGGGTTGGTACTCTCTTTGGAGGGAATGGTTAACTTAAACCACAGGAAGTAAAATCAAAGAGAAGGAGTCTATAGTACTTTGCCCCAAACCTCACATTTGATGCCCAGATAAAGTCCCTACGGAATGTATACACCAGAGAACATGAATTGGTCATTGGCCTGCTGCCTTGTGATAGTGGGAAAGGATAGGTTAACATGGTGATTCCATGGGATGACTTATTCAAGCTATGGGAAAGTCTGGGTTGCCCTGCTTCTCAGGAGAGGAGACCCCCCTCTGGGTCTGATGAGATAGAGCTCCTAGTAAGAATCTTTAATACTCTTGTTTTGCTGATCTACATTAAGGTAGTATTGTATCCTCACCATCTAGTAAAAGGATTAAGTATCCCGTGGCATTAAATTCTATGGCATGGTGATTGTCCCTGTACTATGCTCCATCCAGATTTCAATTTGCCTGTCACCTCCCTCTGTACTGCAGTGGCAGCGCATGACAGTTCTCTGAGGTCATAGCCAAGATGAAGGGCCCACTCTAAGTTACCCTTGATTCACACAAGGGAGAGTCCTTCCTTCTGAAAGTTCCACCTTGATTCTCTCACTTGGCTCTCATTCCTTTTCCAAGGGCCCTAATTTAAAGATAGCTCAAAACAGAGGAAGCAGTCTGCCCAGCGCTCAAGGACACCTAACAACCAGCATCCCAATTGTAACACAGGTCACCCGCCCAAACTCTCAGCCTTGCCTATCGTTGTCCCTTTCATTTCAACAATCATTAATGGGTATTTACACTGCCGATGGTGACTTGCTGCAACACAGTTTAAGACACGATCTAGTCTCTTTAGTTTTACCTCCAAAGGATTTAGGACATAAAGTTGTGCTGGCTGGGGTTTCACTGTTTCTTTTCCCAACCCTTTACTTCTGATCTTTGGTTAGGGGTGAAGCGTTACATAAAACAAGTTTACATAACAGCGCCTGTACCACATAATCACATATTATGGTTGGTGATAAAGAGCATGACTCTCTCAAAAGAATTTAAATTACAAACCTAAGCTGAAACCTCTTGGCTTTTACTAGAGTTACAGAACTGATAATGTCCAACTGGGATATATAAATTACCATGTTCAGAGCCACCACTTGACTCTTAATCAAACCCTCGTGCTACTTAATCTAAGCTGCAATCACTCTCGATAATTGGCAGGTGACATTTTCATAGGAAGCCACAGTATATTTATACATGCATGTGTTTAAGTTGTGCTCTCTGTCCTGTTGACAGAGGAAGTGAGGGATCATTCTAGCTTTTGAAAGGTTCTACTTTCAGAAAGCTGAAAACTTTGGATGCTGCACTTATATTCCTCTGGGGTGGTTTGGGGAGACTGAAGGCACTGTTTTAAGAGCCTGGCTGGGGTCTGTTTTGCAGTGTGTTACGTGAGTTGTGAATTCTTCCCACTTTATCGTTTATGCCCAACTACCTGTTGAGAAAGGTTTGTTATCCAGCTTTTGCTGATAAAACACCAGACTCCCAGAAAGACAAATATAATATGTACTCACTCATAAGTGGATATTAGACATAAGGCAAGGGACAACCAGCCTACATGCCACAACCCCAGAGAAGCTAGGTAACAAAGAGGACCCTAAGAGACATATAGATGGATCCACGGAGGAAGAGGAAAAACACAAGATTTCCTGAGTAAATTGGGAGTGTGGGGGGGAGGGGAGGGTGGAAGGGAAGAGGGGAGGAGAGAAGGGGAGTGGCAAAATATATAGCTTAATAAAAACATAAATTAAATTTTAATAAAATACCAGAAGCCTGGGAATGTTAAATAAATGAGCTCAGTATTCAAAAGTGAGTTTAGAGTCTATAGTTTTAATGTTTACCCTTGAGTCCATGAGCTTTCTCCACTGACAGCCACCAATGAATTCCACATCTGATGAAAGAAGACTGGCTTCAAAAGGACAAACTCTGCCTGTGCCAGGACTCCTCACTGTAGGTGAGATTAGGATCTGAAATGAACAGTTAAGTAAGCCAGAGCACTCAGAGATTTAGCACAGGTGGCTGACAAGAAAGATTACATTGCTCATAGTTTCAAACTCATTCCTTAGTGCCCTGAATGTTGAAAATTGAATCTCCTTGATAGGCTGTTGCAAAGTTCCAATAAAGATGTTTTGTTTGGTTCGTGTTTCTGGGGGATGGCGTAACTATGCAGCCTGACCAACAAATGCCACGCAGCCCTGACCAATGACTCATGGACTCAACTGTGAGATCTTGCGTCAGTTGCAAAATATCATTTAAAATTACCTGAGCCAACTAGCCAAAGGCTTGTCACAACTCATTATACTATCTTGGCTCTGTTCTAATTTAATCTTTAAAAAAAAGAATGTGTATGGTGAAGAAAAGGACAATATATATATATATATATACATTAAAAATAATTTTATATAACAAAAGTTTTCTAAGTTAATGTTGAAGGGTTTTGAAGTTAGATTTTTTAACATAGGACCTTGAACCCCCTATGTAGGAAGAATGACCTTGAACCTCTTGCATCTAGAGTGCTGGCATTATGAGCATGTACCACCATACCCACTTTATGCTGTGTCAGGGCTTGGACTCAAGAACTTGTGCATGCTAAGCACTTTACCACTGAACTAAACAACATGATAAATTAAAGACCCGGAGACAGATATTGGAATCAAGCTTCAAGCTGAAGATCAAAAAAGCAAAGGAGCCAAGCCACTAGCTCTCACCTCTACCTCAGTCTGAAAGGGCTGATCCTGTCACTATGGGCTCCTCACCAGACTCAGACTGCTGCTTCTCCTATTATTAGGAGAATAATCCTAACTCTGACTACTGAAAACCCTGCTTCTATCTTTTATACCTCTGCAGTACTGGGATTAAAGGCCTGAGTTCTGTTACTCTTTTAGACTGATTCAGTCTCGTGAAGTCCTGGGTGGCCTTGAACTCAGAGAGATCCATCTGCCTTTGTCCTGGGTCCTGGGATTAGAGGTGTGTGCCTCTTTTCTATGAATAACTAGTATGATTGCTATTTTGATCTCTAGTACCTTTAATAAATCATAAACAATATTTCACAAAGAGCTACATGCCCAGCCCTAGAAGTCAGTGTAAAAAAAAATCTCAGAAGAGTAAAAGTAACCCTCTCCTCCAAGGAAAACAATTTTTGTTTAACATTTTATATCCTTCTTCCCTCCCTTTTTTCTTTTCTTCCATTTTTTCCCCTTGTGTTTTGAGATAGGGACTAAGATGCAGTCTAATGTGACCCTAAACTCTGTCTTCTTGCCTTCTGCCTGTGTCCCATGTTGGGACCATGAGCCTGGGCTACCACAACTGCTCTTTGTGTGTAAACATAAGAGTGATGGGGCTGGAGAGATGGCTCAGCTACTAAGAGCACTTGTTGCTCTTGCAGAGAGTCAGGGACTTGGTCCCCAGTAGCCAAAAGGCAAATCACAATGATCTGAAATTCCAGCTCCAGTGGATACATTGCCCTCTTTTTGTCTGCCAGGGTACTGTGAGCAGACACACACACACACACACACACACACACACACACACACACACACATACACACACACAACCCACATATTTTAAAAAATGTAAAAATAATGGAAATGCTACAGTGAAGTTCTTTCTCTGTTTTATACTTCTAACACCAAGCTAATTAGAAAAGAGAGAAGAAAAAAAAACAGTATCCTCTGATTCTCTGTAGACAATATAGTGAAACGAAGATGAAGAACACTTAGTTCTAAAACAAAGTGATGACACGCTGAGCTTAAGTGTCCCTTGTCAGCTGTTGTCACAGTTGAGAATGACTGATAGTTTCACCACTCAAAATAGCTTCTCTTAATAATGGTAGATAGTGAATTGAATTCCTCACCACATAGTATAGTGTAAATTGCCATGCCTTACATTCTGACCTTTATATTAAATAAGGATGTTTAATCTCTGCAAAGAAAAATCTTTACTCGGCAACACTCCTAGTGTGTGTGGTCAGGTGACAGTGTCAGTATTTTATCAGGCCATCTGCTCTCTTGTGGTATTGCTGACAGCCAGGCCTCTTTATGCCATGAACATAGCCAATAGATGGGGGTCACTACTTTCCATCTTCCCATAGGGTGACACTTGGTAGCAGGCCAAGCAAAAGAGAGCTAAGCAAGCTTCCGGTTTGACAGGTACGTGGGAGGGGCGTTGACTTAGGAAATTTAAGTTTCTCCAGGAAGGAGGCTTGGGGGTAAAGGAAGCAGAAAGTGTCCGGAGGTGTGTGGGCAGCAGAGTTATTTACAGGGTGCAGCTTTGCTTGGAGACATTTTAGGAGCGGGTTGAATTGTGGGCGTCCGGGGGACGGGAGGAGGTGCTTTGTCGCAAGGTGTATGCTTGCTGGGGCAGGTAGCACGGCAGGATAGAGGGGCACCTCCAGAGCCGGCCAGGAACCTCACCCACCCTACCCCGTCCCGCTCTCCGCCCCGCCCGCGATCCACACCCACCCTTCTCAGGTTTCTCTGGGAGTCGCCATAGCAACCGACGGATGCCAGCTTTGGGATTCAGACTCTCAGAACTCAGAGCCAGCAGTTAGGTGGTGGCCATAGGCACCCAGACCAGCGGGCATGACGGAGGCTGATACTGAGAACTCGGAGTACAGGTTGAAGACCCAAGGATGCCGAAAGATTCTCGAGACCCTCGAGGGGGCTATTGAACAATTCCGATACAACCCCAGGTGACCTTTCCGCTGCGCCCATGTGCCCCAAAGCAGGCCCACAGCCTCATGGCCTTTGGTTTCCTAAGTAAACCGTAGGCTAAAAGCTCAGACTCAGGTCTGGGTTCCAATTCTACTTAACGTCTCCCCAGATCCTGACTTAGGTCATTTATTTCCCTAAGCCTCTGTTATCTCAGCTGGGAAATAGGACTATGGCATGTTAAATGTATTCGCCTAGGTACAGTCTAGAGGACACTCATGCACACATGTTACAAGGATGCTTTGAGAAAATACCAGAGACTCCAGCTTTTAAACACAGATTTCTTTGGCAATTCTAAGGCTGGAAGTCCAAGAAATGGGCACACTGATTTGTTGTCTGGTGATCCTTTCCCATAAACACGTTCTTACTATATCCTTCCCTAGTGGGACCAGCAAGGGAACTGTCTCCCAGCTTCCCCTCTCTATACCACCACCACCCTGGCTTTTTATAAGGGAAAATCTTGTTTCTGAGGTTCCCACATCAGAACCCATTCATCTTTCTTGACTCCACCTCTGGAAGCCATCTCTTTGGAAATTAAGACGTTTATATGGGTTTTCTTAGAACCAGAGCACCCCCCAAACACACAGAAACAGCAAGCCATATGCCTTTGCAAATGGAGTCATTATTTCAGGGTTCTGGGGTTTCATTCCTCCTTCTTGGGATCCTTATACCTAAGCCCTACTATTGTTATTCGGATAATGTAGAGTTGACATTTCTGAGAGGAAAAAAAAAAAGCATTTTCCTTAAGACACTTTTCAAAGCAGTAAGCACATGACCCTGGATTAATTGCTACAAGATGCAATTCCTTAGGCAGAGGCGTTGGGGAGCCAGACAATTGGTTCCAGGCAAGCCCAACCCAAGGTAGCTCCATGTCGAGAGTGGGGATGACTGTAGCTGGACCAGTCCAATAGTGGACCTGACCCTGAGACACAGTCCTGCTGAGCTCAGCCTCCCTGGTGCAACTGTCTTAAATACTGGGTATGTTGGTCAACCCGAGTCAGGGTACACAGAGACCCTGATAAAGCTGTCAAAAATCACATAGCTCGCTGCGCCCAGTGCCCCCGAACAGGCCCACAGCTTCATAGCCTTTGATTTCTTAAGTAAACCATAGGCTAAAAGCTCAGGCTCAGGTCTGGGTTCCAGTTCTGCTTAACCCCAAGTCCTGACTTGGGTGGAGGCAGCTCCTAGCAGACACCAATAGAGTGCTGTGTCTAATTTGTTGCTAAGAGTCCCTTTCTCTTCTGGACTCCTTGACATTCCACAGTGGGATAAGTCCCCAACAAAACATTACAGCCAAACTCAAGGGACCCACTGACCTCTGCCAAGCATTGTAGTAACACCTTGATTTGAATCAAGGAACCACTAATGCTCATAACAGTTTTCCTCCACTCAAAGGCTTAGGGAACCAGGTTAAAGCTCTGAAAGGAGTGGGGGAAATCAAACATTGTCCAGTGCCCAGGGATCTGAGCATTGCTTTGTTAGGCCCGTGAAGACAACAGTTTACATAAAGACAGTCTTGGTGAAATAGACATTCTAGTTAGGAACCAATGGCAAACTAGGTAAGCCAGTAACTATGTAATGAGTCAGACAGCATTTACATGTGAAAGAAGAAACAGAAGCAAAAGGTAGCAGGGGAAATTGTGTGTGCATGTTATACACCCCCAAGTCACCAAGTGGAAAGGCAGAATTGTAATTTTAGCTATGGCTCTCAGGAAAGGCTTCACTGTGATGACATTAAGAAGAAAACTGCAGGGAGGAGCCAGACAGATATATCCAGATATATCTAGTGCCAAAATCCTGACTGAGAGAACAAGAAGTGGAATGCAGGGAGTCTGAGTGCAGGAATAGCAAGGAAGCCAATATGGTTATCACATAGAGGGAATGGGTTGGGGCAGAAGAGATATGGCCAAAGACTTCAGCTCTTATTTCAAAAGAGGTGGGAAGCCAATTGACCCAAGTCCTGATAGTCTCTGACTTACATATCTATGGGATTGTTCTGCTCTTTTGATAATAGACTATAACAGGTACAAGGGCACAAGTAGAGAAACCAGTTAGCAAACTTTTACAATATCTATCAAGGAGGATAGCCATGGGACCTGGGTAAAGTGCTTACTATGAGGGCCTGAGTTTGTATCTCCAGCCACATACAAAACTGGGCATGGTGAAGCAAAACTGGAAGCCTAGCACAGGGGGGAGGGGGCTGGTGGGTCCCAGGTGCTCACTGCCAGCCAGTCTAGCTGATACAGCTCGAAACCTGATTTCATCAAGTGGTCCCATTCCAAAAAATTAGGAAGAGCACAATAGAGAAAGACATTCAGCATTGAATTCTGGCTTCCACATGCATGTATTTGCAGACAAGTGCATGGGTGCAACCATTCCCATGTTCACACACAAGCAAATAACACTGCTTGTGGAAGTGGTGTCAGGGAGGAAGGTGGTCATGGGGAACAGGAGGCAATCCTTGGAGGTGCTGAAGATGTGGTCAGATTCTAGCTACTCATTTAAAAGGGGATTGGTCGAGTTTACTGATGAACTGCCATGTGTAGGGCAGGCTCCAAGGTTTCTGACCTGAATAGCTGGAAAAAACGGGATTGCCATTAACTTTGTTGGGAAAGGGAATGTGAGAAACAGGATGGTGGTCATAGGATGACCTCACCTTGGGATAGAGAAGGTCGGCAGTGACTGTTAAACATCTATTTAAGCAGTTCAGTAGTAAGAGCTGGATGCTGGAAGATTATATATATATATATATATATATGAAACAAAAAACAATAAAAGAATATTTTCCTTAAATAACATTGAACCATTCACCACAGTGAAAATTTAGCACCTCTAATGTCATCTTCATTGACTAATTCATTAACCGGTATTTGTTAGGATGGACTATTCTAGGGCTCAGTGGGATGTGTTGCATCAGTCTATTAATAAATATTCATGAGTCTGCTTGTGTAAGTTAGCATATTAATTTTGTGTTTAATTTATTAAGCATAATTGTTATCTCCCAAAACCATGCTTTATGCATAGCGAGCAACCTATTATTGAGGAGAATTGCACAGACTGACTATAAATAAGGTCTGTGTAGGAATCATTTAGCTAAGGTCTTGGGATGTGGGCTTCCGTTCTAGGCAGTTTGGTTGGCATCTAAAATTAGAACTCCTTCAAATCTGATGAGAAGCTGTAGAATGATCCTTCATATTTTATTTAGATTCTGAATGAGCCAGATCTTTCTAAATCAACCATAACTTTTTGTTAAGCCTGGGGTGGGGGAACCTTACAAATCCCAGATATGTCCATGACCCCTGGCTTACAATTTTAGATGAGCTGTTTACCTCAGTTTCCACATCTTTGAAACAAGATGTTGAAAAATCACTGGAAGAAGAAAAAATGTAGATTAAAGCATACATATTCACAGAGCCTCTGGGGAAAGTTACTCTATAAATAGGTGTATTGTTTTTAAACACTCCAGAGGGGTTATCTGGAAAATTATATACTTTATTATTGTCTTGTTATAGTAACAGAAGGAATAGCCAAACATATTACACTGTTTCTAAATCATAATCTGAAAAATACATTGATAATAAAAATTATCCGCATTCTATAAACTTACCACTCAAATTTTTTTTTGCCTAAAATAGGAAGGAATAAAAAACACAAATGTAAAAGTCTAAGGGAAATGAGGCTGAATAGAGGAAAGAGGCCACTTGGCACTGGGGAGGGTAAAGGATTACAGCTCTGGGCTGGAAGAGTAAACAGAGGTCTGTTAAACATACAGTGTGCAAACTACAGAGAAACAGTACATTCGGTTCTATCTGTTCCATTGATGTAGCACCCAGGGTTTAGACAATTTAGAATGCCCCCAAATGCTGAAGACTGAGATAAATACCTATTTGGAGGCAGCATGGGAGACACTCAAAGTTTCAGGCTAAGGTGGCAAAGAGACTTGGCAGAGGTTGCAAGCAGCACTTGCCTGCAGGGATAGTTTGCCCACTGACTAAGGAACACTAAAAGGTGCAGTCAGGCCAAAGCTCTTTACAGAACCAGGAGATCTTTTTGTTGTTTTGGCTGCTATGTTTTTCAATTGTTCTTTACCACTGAGCATGGGAAAACTAAGAGGCACTTCACAGAACCCATCGGTTGCACAGAGAGTCCTCCTTGACTTTCCACTGTATGGCAATCACACAATCACCCACTTGATAATCAGATTCCAACCATATGCAACAGAGTGATCCCTCTTTTATGCCTTTGGTTCAGTGGCATAACGATCACAAAACACCCAGGTTACATGGCCATCCATGGCGTCACCGTTTCTTACAGGAATGTTTATAGTCTGTCCTTATTCTTTTTTTTTTTTTTTTTTTTTTTTTTTTTTGGTTTTTCGAGACAGGGTTTCTCTGTATTGTTTTGGAGGCTGTCGGTCCAGCCTGGCCTTGAACTCACAGAGATCCGCCTGCCTCTGCCTCCCGAGTGCTGGGATTAAAGGCGTGCACCACTACCGCCCGGCTATTGGCATAGACTTTTTTTTTGGTCTGTCCCTATTCTTAAAACTCCATTCATATAACTCTTCCCTAGATACTCTTGCCAACAATCTTTTTGCCTTTCTGCTTTTGTTATGGCTGCCTACAAATTAATCTCGATATCTACTCCAGGCCCTTCACCCAGAAAGAAGCAGACAAAGAATTGCTCTAAGTGTTAACAATGCAAGAATCTCCTTCTGAGCTATCATTCATGATCACTTCTGGATGGGTTTGCCAAACTGTGTGAGCCTACCATGTGGTGACAGTTCCATCTGTTAATTAGGCTTGAGTTCTTCAGTCAACTGGTCATAATGTTACACAAGGGCATAGGATACATTTAGTCTAGAAGAGTTCCTCAGTCTTTTCCAGTATTTTATGTATGTGACACTTTGACCAAGTGTGGATTTCACATCTGTAGAGTACCTAGATGTAACTCAGGCTCAAATATTGTTACACAATCAGACTCA